GGTGTGGGGAGGAGAATAGATGAGGAGGGCGAAGGAGGAGAGAAAACGGAGCAGGAAGGGAAATACGGGGGGCTGAGAAGGAGTGAGGTAAGTGGAGGCTGAGCATCCTAATCTGGTTTTGACCTCTCCAGGCCCGGGGGAGAGGGGAGGGCAGACATGGAGCCTCACCCTCTGCGGGCCAGAGGTTTGGATTGGTGTGGGTAGGCAGGAGCTGTTCTTCCCTGTGGTTTGGGTTGGGAGGGTGTGTAGCGTTATTTCTCACCTGAGTCTAGACAGGCCCCTTTTCACCTTTATGCCTCTATCTATCTTCATGTTTCAGGAAGGGAAGGAAGGTGCAGAATGGAGTCGGGGAAGGCAACTGTGGTGGGAGTAAAGCAGGCCAAAGCTGAGGGTGCCCCAGGATCCCGGTCATTATCTGGCCTTGTGTAGCAGCCTCAGTCTTTTGTCCCGGGGGGTAGGGATGGGGCGGGTGGAAGGGAGGGTAAGGAGGGGCTGGCACTGACTCTGGGGGAAGTCTCCTGAGTTCTCCACGGTCCGATTCTGAGTATAACATGGCGGGAGAGTGGGTCCTTTCCCACTAGCTGTTCTCTCTTCCCTTAAGACCTGAAGTCTAATTCTTGCTGGATTCCTTCTTTGAAGTCAGTAGGAGGTCATGCAGAACGAAGTTACTCCAACATGCTCAGTGTGATTTCCACGGTTCCTTCCTTTTCCCTCCCCAGTCCTCCCCTCTTCCTTCTCTCCTGCTTGATCGCCAAGATCTGTGTGCTCATTTCCACCCGGAGTATGTGCTCCTGGCCAGTGGGTCTGTTTCCCAGGAATGAAAATGTGCTCCTTCCCCCTGAGCACAGAGACACAGTCCTGCGGGGCTGGGCGGGTCGGAAAACTAGGGCTGGACCACAGCCAAGCTTTCTCTGAAGTTCTCTCCAAGTTAAAAACAGAACGAGTCCAGGCATTTAAAGGTAATTAGTTTAGCTCCAAGTGGATCTGGGGATAATCTCAAACTTCAAAGCTCCTCTGTGTGTCATGACCTGGGGAGTGGAGGGAGGGCAGGGATCAGGGGCTCAGGATGCACTCAGAGGCCGGAGGCCAGAGGCCACCATCCTTCACCCCCTCCTCTCATTTGTCCCCGCATCATTGGACTTTTCCTCTCCATCCCTTAGGGCCTAGGGCAGCGCTTGTGCTTCACAAGGCATCCAGGCTGCTGCTCAGGGAGCAGAGGGGCTCACCTGTGCTCAAAACCTTGTTGTCATCCACCCAAAAGGGAAATGAAGTCATGGCCAGAAGTGACGACCTTGAGTTGTCCTCCAGGCTTTCTCTCCCCCGCCCTGGAAACTCACTCTGCTGTCCAGGACTGACCCTAACCTCCCTGAGCCTCACCTAAAAGCCTCAGCAGTGTCTGCAGCATGGATTCGTGGAACTTGGGGCGAGGTTCCCCCAGGGTCACTGGTCCCCAAATAACAAGGGGCCATGTCGACCTCTCCGAGTCTGTGCTTCATGTTCCTCATCTTTGTTTTAGGAGCTAGAGATGCAAAGTCTTCGCTGTCATGGAGCTTATATCCTGTTGGATACATTCACAACACACACATTTAAAAAGAAGATTATTGCAGGTTAAAGCTAGTGTTATGAAAGAATAAACAGATTGGAGTAATAGGGAGTAATGGGGGAGATGGAATTGTCCAGGGCAACCAGAGAAAACTACTTTTCGGAGGTGATATCTACGTTGAGAACTAATGGATGAGAGGATGTTCTGTGTAAAGAGCTAAGGGAGGAAACTTGTCAGCAAAGGCAACAGCAGGGTGAAAGGCCCTTGGTGGGAAAAGGCTAGATGTGTTCAACCAACAGAAAAGAGTCGAGGGCTGTAACTGTAGTTATGAGCAGGGAAAGAATGGGGTGAGATGTGATTGGAGCAAAACCGAGGCCTGCCAGGGGCCTGCGCGGTTTGGTGAGGAGTCTGCTTTACTCTGAGAACAATGGGAAGCCTGGCAGGGTTTCACCAGGGTGTGTGACGGCTGTGCCACTTCAGACTGGGGAAGACAAATTTGGAGTCTGTCTGAAGGTGCAGGTGAGAGGAGCTGGCGATGGAGCAGGAGAACACAAATAGATCCATGGAGCCTGACACTAGTTATAATCTAATTGGTCTCCGCTTCTCGAGGGCAACACTCCTGTCTTATCCTCTCATTGATCACACACCTGCAGTGCGCCTACCATGGGCGAGCGTTGCCCTTGACTGCTGTTGGTTTGCTTCATCCTCGTGCTGGTCCTCTGCAGGAGTGATTATTTTTATTTTATAAGCAAAGAAACCTCAGAGGAGTTGATTTTCAAATCCAGATCTGCTGTATCTCAACACTGCCCATAAAGATGCTCAAAAATGTGCAACTGGATGGACAAGAGTAAGTCACCAGTTGCCCAAGGGGTATACTGTGCAGAGTGCAGGAGAGTCTTTTGGCCAAAACTAGCTTCCCTACATATGGAAAACAGAAGAATCTTTGCCTCAAAGGACCTGAAGGTCTTAGCTAAGCAAGAGATGGGTGACCTGGGGGATGAGAAGTATATTTAGTCATTGTCACTCATTAAGCGAACAGAGGAACTCCGTACGCGTAGGTAGCACTGTCAGGGATTGGGATGCAAGAAAGTCGCATGTGGAAAAGCGAGAACTCCTTCTGGAAAAAGGGATGCATTGAAGATAACAGGGTTGATGAATGCTGGAGGGAACAATGGTAATAATATAATAATGGATACCAATGAAAATGCCCACCATTTACTGAATGCCTTGTACATAGCCATTAGCTTATGGTGGTATCTCACACATCCCTTATAATGAACCTCTGGAGTAGGTATGGCTATGGTTCCATGATTCTAAGAGACCATCAACTTGTTTTGCTGTGTTGTTTTTACTAATGGAACATAGAACACATTTATTCATGCATAACCACTTGATTCTTCAGGATAGCAATGCACAGTTGAATCCAAGCCTCCACGTGCAGAGTTGAGGAGTCTTCTGGCTCCACCCGCTGTGCACATGCAACTCTCCATAACCTGCCTGGACATCTTTTGCCCCTTCAGGGTTAAAAGTATCATTTAGAGCAGGATAAAGAGTGTGGGGTCCTTCTGATTTCCTATTTTACTAAGCGTGTAGCTTTGTCTTTCTTCATTGGATCATCATGTGTTGTTATTGACATCCCAATGTACTCATTCCTCTGTCCAATGAGGGGCAAGGTCATCATTATTTTTTTCAGCATTTATTATAAGATGCCTTCCTATTTTTAAAAAATGTGTCTTAGCATTAATATATGAAACCGAATAGCAAGCAGGGCTCATAACTGGGAATCCAAACCTCCTGTCACTACTTCTCAACATTCAAGGGAGTAATTTTCCCCTCCTCGTTCTCTCTGGGACCCTCTCCAGTCAGACCTATCTTCCCGCCACTCCACCAAAACTGCTCTTGCTGGGGCCACCGATGACCTCCCCATGGCCAAATCCGCTGGCCAGTCCGCAGCCATCATCTTACTTCAGCGGTACTGACTCCATCCTCTTTCCGGGATGACTTCTTTCCATGGCTCCCTTAGGCCTCCTGCATCAGCTGGGAGCTTCTCGGCTTCTCTTCCGCGTACTCCTCACCTCCTACCACCCGAGCGCATCCTCAGACTTCTCTCTCTTCCTGCCTTCGCTTCCTCTGTGGCCTCTTCTGCTCTCATAGCTGGCTTCTCTCCGCAACAACGTTCACACAGAAATCTGCAGCCGACACAGCGCCCGCCCGTCCTGCTGCCCACTCTCCAGCACTCCTCTCCCTCTTCCCGACGTTTCTACTCCCACTTCATCCTCAACTGGCTCCTTTTGTGGTCTTTGCATCTCAATAAACATACTTACTCCTCTTACTTGACTAGACTCCTTCCTCTCTTTCTCTTGCTCCCTGCATTTGAACCTGTAGCAAATCCTATCAGCTAAAACTTAAAATTAAATCTAACGTGTAATCCAAAGCTACTGCCTGGCCCAGCCATGGTATCGCTCGCCTGGCATAATCGGCCCACCACGTCCACCCAGGCCCTCCACAGCCTCAGTCAGATCATGGTGTCGCTGCTGAAAGCCACCAGAGTAACACAGAGTGACAGCCAAAGCCCTGGGGCCCAGGCTCTGTGTGGCCCAGGCCTGCTAGCCCCTGGCTTCCCCTCCCTCCCTGCTGCTAACTGGCTTCCCGCCAACTGGCCTCCTTGCTGGTCTCACGTGTGCCAGGCACGCCGCACCGCAGGGACACAGGACTGCACACGGGCTGCTTCCAAACCGCTGCTCTCTCCCCCACATTCCCATGCAGCTTGCTCCCCCATTTGGGGGGGTCTTTTTAAATGATACCCCCAACAGAGAGGCTGCCCCGGTGCTCCCTGTATAAACAGCCCCCCAAATTCCGTCCCACGCGCTCTGCTTTATCCCATAGCACCTCTGTCACTTGAGATGGTGCACGCTGTCCATGGCCCATCCATACTACCCTGAACACAAGCCCCCAGGCACAGGGGCAGTAAGTGTCTTAGCCTCCTCCCAGTTCCCAAGGTAAAGAAAGAGTTGGGCATCGATCCTCAGATGGTCCACAATTAAGGCAGCTGCAGCAGATTCTCAATTCATAAGAAATACTGAAAAGGCCAGGTCAAAGCTTTAATTTTAAAAAACAAAACACCCCTAAGGACCACACCCTGAGACTGTAAATGAGACTTTCCCAAGGTTAAAAATGGCAGGCAAATTCAATAAGGGACTTTAGTGCACAATTCAATTCCAGGAATCATAAAAGGCCCCCACTCAGAACAGCGCCCTGGGAAGCAGACCCTCAAGGGAACGCTGCTGAATCTGGGGACGAGGAAGAAAAGAGAGCCTAGGGACAGGGCTGGGCTTCTGTTCAGACGCGTGCATGTCTGCATGTCTCCACTGCCAGGGCCAGCGGTGAGGACTCCTCTTCCGGTCCCACCAGGACCGCACGGCCAGCCCTGCTGACTCCTGCCCTGTGTCTCTTCCAGATCCGCGCTCTCCCAGGCTCTGGAGGCCTCTGCTATGACCGCAGTCCTTTCCCAGAGCCAGGACTGCCCGTCGCTGCCACAGCCACTCCAGGTGCCCGCGCTGCCCTGCCTGTCCCCCGCCCCGCGTCACCATGGGCAGCGTCAGTAGCCTCATCTCCGGCCACGGCTTCCACAGCAAGCACTGCCGCGCTTCGCAGTACAAGCTGCGCAAGTCCTCCCACCTCAAGAAACTCAACCGCTACTCGGACGGGCTGCTCAGATTCGGCTTCTCCCAGGACTCGGGGCATGGCAAGTCCAGCTCCAAAATGGGCAAGAGTGAAGACTTCTTCTACATTAAAGTCAGCCAGAAGGCCCGGGGCGCCCACCACCCCGATTACACTGCACTGTCCAGTGGGGACCTGGGGGGCCAGGCTGGGGTGGACTTCGGCCCGTCTACCCCACCCAAGCTCATGCCCTTCTCCAATCAGCTAGAAATGGTAAGTGGGGGTCCCTGGTCAGGGCGGGTGGATTGGAATGGCAGGGAGAGCAACACAGGGAGAACACAGGGCAGGGAGGGGTGGCGGTGACCTAAACATTTAGATGTCGGAAATGCTCAGCCGCGCTGCAGAGACCAAAGGTTGGCCCATCTTAGGTGAGCCGTTCAGCAAAGAGCAGGGGGAAACGAAAGGCTTGCTAAGCTCCCGGATGTAGCTGATGGTCAAGGCAAGACCACCAGCAGCACTTCCAAGTGCACGGGAAGGAGAGGGAGCTCTGGTATCGCCCGGAAGAGCAGATGGAGAGCCTGCTTGGAGAGCTGGCAGCTTCTCTCGCTAGCAGATCCTCCTGTGCTGCTTGGTGGTGCGGCAGCTCGTCTCAAGCCGGGCCAGGAGCCGGCTGGCTGGCTGGATGAGGGCTGTGAGTTTCTTGCCATCATCTTCAGCAGAAATGAGGGCAAAAGAGTCCTACATACTCCAGAAAGCCAGTCCTCATTCCAGATTAAGCTCTCATGGGGCCCACCGGTGGATGCCAAAAACCACGTTCCTACTTCAGCCCCAGCGCTGCGCGGGCTTTGATACCCTAGGAAGTGGCCCCGTGTGTCTGCATGGAGCCTTAAGCTTCTCAGATGAAAGGGATTCTGGATGCAAATGCTCTACTAGTGAAAATGACAAGGAAAGGGTTATGTCAAGTGCTCCTCCCAACCCTTTGAGGAGGCCACACCGGTGTCTGCTGGAAGGGCGGTAGAGGTGAGCAGGGACTTCTACAGGGAGACCATGCCCACCCAGCCCCACGCCCCTGCCGGCACCACACAGGACAGCCAGAGCTGTTCATCTCGGGAGGCTGGGAGGAGCTGGTGGCAGGTGGCAGTTCATGGCACAGAGCAGCTTCTCCTTGAGAGATTCAACACATTCAGCAGCTTCAGAGCACCAAGCGAGGCCGCCTAGGGCTGTGCCTAAGAAGGGTGCCGCGTGGCTGGGTGGACAGGGAGACCCAAGGTCACGTGGTTCTTTGTCTCCCCAGGCCTCAGAGAAGGGTGCGGTGCGGCCCACAGCCTTCAAGCCGGTGCTGCCACGATCAGGAGCCGTCCTGCACGCCTCCCCCGAGAGCACCGGCCACCAGCTGCACCCCGCCCCTTCGGACAAGCCCAAGGAGCAGGAGCTGAGGCCCGGCCAGTGCTCCGGGGCTCTGTCTGACTCCGGCCGCAACTCCATGTCCAGCCTGCCCACACACAGCACCAGCAGCAGCTACCAGCTGGACCCGCTGGTCACAGCCGTGGGGCCCGCCAGCCGTTTTGGGGGCTCAGCCCACAACATCACCCAGGGCATCCTCCTCCAGGACAGCAACATGATGAGCCTGAAGGCGCTGTCCTTCTCCGACGGTGGCAGCAAGCTGGCCCACCCAAGCAAGGCGGACAGGGGCGGCTCCTGCGTGCGCTCGCCCATCTCCACGGACGAGTGCGCCATCCAGGAGCTGGAGCAGAAGCTGCTGGAGAGGGAGGGCGAGCTGCAGAAGCTGCGGCGCAGCTTTGACGAGAAGGAGCTGGCCTCCAGCCAGGCCTACGAGGAGCGGCCGTGGCGCTACCCCGAGGAGCTGGAGGGCCCCGAGCCCAAGAGCAGCAGCCGGCTGAAGGCCTCGCAGAAGGGCCAGCGCACACAGCAGGTGCTGCACCTGCAGGTGCTGCAGCTGCAGCAGGAGAAGCGGCAGCTCCGGCAGGAGCTGGAGAGCCTCATGAAGGAGCAGGACCTGCTGGAGAGCAAGCTGCGGTCCTACGAGAAGGAGAAGACCAGCTTCGGCCCCGCGCTGGAGGAGACCCAGTGGGAGGTAAGACTGGGGAGGGCTCGCCCTGTTTGGTGCCCGGCCGCTCCCCTCCTCCAGGTCCTGGCCAGTGGTGAGTGGACACAAACTGCCCAGCACGCCGCGCTAAAGGGCCAGCTTCATGGCCCAAACCAGGGACTCCCGTATTAGGGATGCAGTCAGTCTGCGCTTCTCACTCTCTCCCTGTCTCAGGGCCTCGTGGCCCCCAGAATTGAATTTATTGACCGAGTCACTGACCAAGAGGCTGGAGCCATAAGAAGCAGGCCCAGCACGTATCTGAGGGCCGGCTCGCTGCACCTGCTCACAGGAGGCTCAGGAAGCACGGCCATGCCCGAGTTCATGCTGGTCCGAGCGCCACGAGAGAGCCTAGGATGTGTTACCTTTGAGGGGAGGGTCCCCACCCACTGGTGAGAGTGCCGCCATGTGTGGCAGGTCTCAGGGACAGGATGGACCGCTCCCCCCAGAAGTGGCAGTGGGGGTTCTGTCCAGTGTCTGAGATGGAAACAGGACAGGAAGACAAGGGCTCACGCACACACATGCACGCACTCAGACACGCTGGCAGTGAGGCCTCCGCATCTGGCTGCCGGAGAACCAGCTCACCCCCATCCTGCTGCCTGAGGGCAGCTTTGCTCCCCGGGAGGCTCCTGGCGGTGCGCTGGGACAGGCGGGAGTGTGTGCATAGCAGCTCTGTGGCCCACCCAGGCAAACACTGTGCGGAAAGGGACCGAAGGGCCACTGGGTCTGGTTGGACCAGCACCACTACCCTAGCAGCACAAACGTCTGTTTGCACTAGAGCTCTCTGCACTGATCCTGGCAGCCAGAATGAGGTGTTACCAGTAGTAGAGGGAAAGATCCCTTCTGTGGGAGAGATGGACGGGGGACTGGGCAGGGGAGGATGGTGTCACTTCCTGTTTGCAGGTTTTCTGGGGCGGAAAGAAGGTGAGCCGTGAGAGCAGTGCCTTCCTCCATGTCCGTGTGGGCACAGCAGACCCTCCCGCAGTTACTGTTTCTCAGCCAGCTCTGGGGACACCCGGGGGCGTCTCTGGCATTGGGCTTCCCTTCTTGTCCGTCCAGCCTGGAGCTGAGCTGGACATGGCTGTGGACCTCGCTCCCAGGTTATCCAGTCAGGCTAGATAGTAAAACGGTCGGTTAAATAAATTAAAGTAAACATTTATAAAACATAGGTATATTCAAACATTTATAATAATAATGTGTTGAGTGTTTATTAAGTGTCAGGCCCTCGGTTCTCTCATCTACTCCTTACCCTATGGAGGAGGTACTGTTCCTCATCCTCACTTTTCAGTTATGGAGACTGAGGCACCGAGAGGAGATGATCGAGAGCAGCTGGTTAAATGGCTTGCCCACGGCCACCGCATAATAAGGATCAGAGCCAGGACTTGATCCTGACAGCTTGGCCCCAGAGTTCAAAGATTTCATCACTATGCCATATAGCCATGATGCTAATGGTCACTCAGGTCCTCAGGGTCAAGGCAGGATCCGAAGCCAGGCCCGTGCCTCAACCCTCACTCCTGCCGCTCCCTCCATAAACAGACTCAGGCTTGGCCCTGGAAAGGCTTTCTTGGTCCCAGTCGATGCTTCCAGGGTAGTTCATGACAACAAGGGGGTTTCTGAGGGAAAGTGAGAAATGTCAAGGTGGCTGCCAGCCTTGCTCCCAGAATCCCTCCTGTGAGAGGCCCGGGCCCCAGGCTCATTTCACCAGCCTTCCCGGGCCAGCGGGACGCACTCCGTGACACACACCCAGATGGGCCTCGGCCTTCTTCTGAGCCACTCACGGCCCCGAATGGCCCAGACCCAGAAACGCACCGGTCTGCTTCAGTGCCTTGGGTGGTGTTTGTGGATCTTGGCTGAATTTGTTGGGGAACAGGAATAGAAATGGTGGAGGCATGGGGGCAAGCAGAACACAGTCGCCCATCATTTGGTAGATCGGAATATCAGAATCGGGCCCTGTCTCTGAGCCAGGCGCGGTGCTCATCAGGGGGCGAGTGCATGAACGTGTCCTGTAGGGAGGACAGGGGAGCTGGGTGTGTGCAGGGGTGAGGTCAGAGTGTATGTGCATAAACATGGTGATGGAGATGGGGCAGACATGGAAGTCGATACCACTGATGTTAAATGTGGATGGTGGAGATGCCAGCAGCAGGCAGCTTAAACCTCTGGTCATTGATTGCACGTGACTATAGGCTTGGGTATAGGTTGGGATTTTGACTCTGAGTTGGGGGTGAGGGAGGAATGTGGACAGAGCGAGCCAGGCTACAGAACGAAATGAGCTTCATGGTCACTCAGACCAGCATGCCTGGGAGCTGTCAGGACAGCTTCCTTCTGTGAGGCAGCGGAGCTGTGGCCCGCCCTGGGCGACGGCCTCTCACCTCCCACTCTCTCCTCTCTCCCACCCCGACCGGACCCCCGGCAGGTGTGCCAGAAGTCGGGCGAGATCTCCCTCCTGAAGCAGCAGCTGAAGGAGTCCCAGATGGAGGTCAACGCCAAGGCCAGTGAGATCCTCAGTCTGAAGGCGCAGCTGAAGGACACGCGGGGCAAGCTGGAGGGCATGGAGCTGAAGACACGGGATTTGGAGAGTGCGCTGCGCACCAAGGGCCTGGAGCTGGAGGTCTGTGAGAACGAGCTGCAGCGCAAGAAGAACGAGTCGGAGCTTCTGCGGGAGAAGGTGAACCTGCTGGAGCAGGAGCTGCAGGACCTGCGGGCGCAGGCCGCCCTGCAGCGGGACCGGGGGCCGGTGCTGGGGGCTGGGCCGGGGCCCACCTTCTCCGAGGACATCCCGGCCCTGCAGCGGGAGCTGGAGCGGCTGCGGGCTGAGCTGAAGGAGGAGCGGCAAGGCCACGACCAGATGTCCTCAGGCTTCCAGCACGAGCGGCTGGTTTGGAAGGAGGAGAAAGAGAAGGTGATCCAGTACCAGAAGCAGCTACAGCAGAGCTACCTGGCCATGTACCAGCGGAACCAGCGCCTGGAGAAGGCCCTGCAGCAGCTGGCCCACAGAGACGGGGCCGGGGAGGCTCTGGAGATTGACCTTGAAGGGGCCGACATCCCCTACGAGGACATCATAGCCACCGAGATCTGAGGGGCCTTCTGGGAGGGGAGAGCCGGACCTGGCATTGGGAGGCAGGGTGCAGGGCTGTCCAGGAGGGCTCCCTCCCCTCCTCCCTGCTCCATAACTGAGCCTCTGAGAGAAGCCTGCCCGGGCACAGACCTGGGATCCTCAGGGGGAGGGAAGCAGAGGGGAGAGAAGGGACTGCCCCTGGCCCTCCTCCCCTTTCCCGTGGCGCAGTGCTCACCACTCTGCCGCCCACCAGACCTCTAGCCTTCCCAAGAGATGGGCCAGGCGTCTCCATCATTTGGTCAAGGTCTCCCTACACCTTGGCCTGTATTCAAATACTTAGAGATACCCTTCCCCAGGGATGGTGGTGGCTGCCATGAAGGTCAGCGACCCCCTCTCTTCCCACCGTCTTTCTCCCCCGACACACTGGGATGCCTTGGGAATAGAAAGAAGCCATTTGTGACCGGAATCCTTGTAATCTGACCCAGTCATCACCTGAGCTCTTCCTCTGGCTGAGGAGGCACAGTGGTTGGAGCGGGGTGCTGGCTTGGCCACATCAGCGCTGCCCCAGGGCCGGCCGGCCACAGAAAGGAGGGGAGAGCTGGGTAGGCCTGGTCAGCGAGGACCCCAGGGGGCAGAGGGAGAAGCTCAGTAGTCTGACCCGACCCTGCTGGGCCTGCTGACACGGTGAGCCGCCTCTGGGCAGCCGGTGGCCTTTGATCTCTGTGACCACTTTTCTTAAAGCCATACATACCTGGGTAGGTGCTGGGAAGGGAAGGTTGCAGGCTCGGGGACACGGGTGGGCGTGGCATTCCAGCTGTCCCAAGGAGAGCCTGGGATAGTTCCTGGTGGGGTCTGGAGGCGCGGCTTCCGCACCTGGCTAAGTTGGCCAGCGGCTACTTTGAACTTGTTTTCTTCCCAAGAACCCAGCCTTTGCTGGATCCAGAATAGCCGGTACCCACTAAGATGGTCAGGACGACCTGGGCAGTGGCACACCGGCTCCCTTCACGGCTCCAGGGCCAAGTTCAGACAGGAGTCCTTCCTGGTCAGGGGGGGGTCCCCACAGTGCCGGTGGCCCACCCCCAGGCAGGGAGACACAGCCTTGTGAACGTCCCAGGGCCACGCGGGCCTCCCTCCACTCCGAGCCCCAGAGCCAGACTGTCAGGAAGCCAGAGGCTGCAGCTGCTGGGAGCTGGGCCGGAGTCGGGGGAGGCGGGGTCTCCGTTCTCAGGATGTGCAGCGCTGGGAAGCACAGAAAAGGTAGAGTTTCTCAGTTACTTGTTTCAGAATTCTTTTTTCTTCTTTTTCTTTCTTTCTTGTCTTTTTAGAAGCAAGCCAGATCTAGAGGCAGCCAGGCTGTTCCATGTTCTATTTTTGACTCTAGCCACAGCTGCTGTTCCTAGGACAGCCAGCCCTTGCTCGGTGCCCGCGCCTCATGCCTGCCTGTCGGGGGAGGGGGGCTCCCCCGGGCACTTGGCAGTTCCACACCAGTCCCCCTCTGTCTCCCGACCTCTGACCTTTGGCTACAGACTCCTGGTGGGAATGAAGCTGCTCCTCTTCCTGCCCTGTCCCTCCAGGACCCACCACATTCCTTCCCTGAGGCCGGTTACGCTGTGCCTGTCCTGCTGCCTTCACACGACGGAGGAGCGTTTCTGGAACTGGAAGCCGTGGCTCTTAGTCATAAGCCAGATTTAAACCTGGAATCCACAGGCCAAGAGCCCCCTCCCTGCCTACAGGGCCCTACCGGCCACTGGGCCTTGTGCAGAACCCCAAGTCAAAGGTGTCCCATGCCCCGTGTTGTGCCGTCATCCCTCCCTTTCCACCAGCCGGGCCTCGAGTCCTTCCTCCCAGTGAGACTGCCCCACAGGCCAGAGAAAGGGGCTGCTGGCCCCTCCCCAGGCCGGAGGCACCCCGACACCCCTCCCCAAAGAGCAGTCCCTCACCTGAGAAGAGGTGGGTGCTAACCAGGGTATGGCCGTGCCCTGCACCCCACAGCCCTGCCCTCAGCCAGCCCTTGGATCCCTCCCTGGGCTGCCACCAGCCCCAGGCCCCAGGATGGCCCACAGTGGCACCAGGGTGCATCAGTGACTTGTAACATAGCAACCTCACCACCGCGTGGCTTTCGTCCCCTCCCTGTGGAAACTGTGCTTCCTCCTCCTGGACCGTGCCCGCCAGACCCAGCCTCTCCAGACGGGGCTCTGGACAGCAGAGGCTGGCAGGACTGGGGAGGTCGGACGACTGGGCCTCAGAGCAGGCAGCCTGGCCCAGGGCCCTTGCCTCTGAGCACTCCTGCTGGCTGGCTTGCTCGCGCCCCCAGGATTGCCTGGCCTGAAAACGCTCCAGCTGTCTGCAGAGAGCGCAGCAGCCCCACCACCTCTGCAAGGAGGGGGCTCTGCCTCGGGGACTTGGGATGACCAGACTCAGGGGCGGGCGCCCACTGCAGGGCACACTCCACCCATGTGGACACTGAGCTCTGCGGACTTGGGGGCCCTCTCTCCCTGAGAGGCAACTGCTGAGCCCCTGCCCCGGCCTGGTCCCAACCTAGCCAGGTTGCCCGGAGGTGAGGCAAGCTGGGCTGGTGGAGCAGCAGCTTCAGGAGGGGCGTTCCCTGTGCCCCAAGTTCTGCTGAGCTGGAGCCATTTCCCCCCACCCACCCCCGTGCA